GACTCAGGTGGACAGTGAATGGCCCCTCCCATATAGGGAATAAAGGGGAGCGAAAGGGGAGTGGGGTTTGCAGGAGACAATGAGTTCATTTAATTAGTGTCAAGATCTGACCCTGACTTCTTGCCAAGTCATTGCTGCTACAGCATGGCGTTTGGAAGCTATCGGCCTGGCAACTCTCCCAGACTGATCAAGGTCTGTAGTTGTGCAATCTCATGAAAGACTGTTTGCTGAGACTTTGCTGGAGGGGAATTCACTTTTTAACCTAAATAAAAGAGGTTTTATCGGGACAAGGAGTCGCCTTCGTGATCTTGGGAAGCCTGGGTCAGAACACCCCTGACTCCAGTCAGCCACCTTCGCTCCTCTGATTCGCAAAAGTTTGTCGTTCACAGGATGTGGTTTCCCGTCCAATGCGGGGTTATTAGGCATGTCTGGTTTCCCCCAAATGACTCAGTGCTCTCGCCTCCTCCTCACCCAGCAGTCCCCTTCGGGGTGAAGCCCTGCACAGATGTGCCCTCCGGAAAACCACAAAGGAGGCACTGGCCAGGTCAAGGCTGTTGTTGCTGCACACAGACCGGGCGAGGTGTCTGTTTGGATGTTATGCCCCTGTCAGAGTCTGAATCCGAGGAGGAAGATGAACAGCTGACAGGGAGCAGGAACGTGGCTCCATTGGCTGTGGAGGAAACTGGTGAAGGGCAAAGTCCAGCTGGGCAGAGCAGGAAAGAGGTAGAACAAGGGAGGGGTAGAACAAGGGAGGGGGAGTTCAGAGGAAGATCCAGGCCCACCCCCTCTTCATCCTAAGCGCACGCAGGGAGGAACGGAGAAGGGAGCAACATGGGTTGTGTGACTTATAGGGGAGGAAAGGGCCCTGATTCCCTTCCACACCCGGGAAGAGAGTTTATAAGAGATGCATGCTGAGAACAGTGTTTGCTGGGAACAAAACATGAGTTTATCTTGTGTTGACTTTGGTTATCTGCATTCCTGGTGTCCTCCAAACCGTGTTGAATTACTGCTGTGCCTTCACATCTGGAATTCTTGCTCCTTACCTTGCCAAACTAACTACTTCAGTTTGGCTTGATTGGACTTATAGTTACAGTTTGTGTTGACCATGTTTTGGACTTGAGTCTCTGCAGCCCAAGGCTGTTCCTGGGAGAGTTTTTCTCCAGCCAGAAGATAACCTGGACACTGGGGGCAAAGTTGGAGCTAATAAAGGGACTCCTACTGATTGTCTGACTTTGTTGCCTTTGTGCCACGCCCCAGGTCATCACAGGAGGCCTCTGCATCATCCGGCGTCTTCGGGAGGAAGACGATGGTAGCGTATTCCGTCGGTTCCCGCTGGGTGGGTTTTGGAGAGGCTGCTGGTTTCCCCTTTGGTCCTCCAGGGAATGCCAGCATTTCGTAATCGACCGTGAAAACCGTTACGGCCGCAGGCTCTACGACTTCTTCCTTCGGTTCAAGCCAAACAAAAAATAAAAAAATAGGTTTTAACAAAGCCTGCATGTCTAATTTTTTTTTTAAAGAGAGTTTCTGCACTTCTATAACTGTCTGGTTTGGCTCTGCAACCCAACAGGACAGACACAGACTCCAGAGAGTAATTAGAACTGCAGAAAAAACAATTACTACCTACCTGCCTTCTATCAAGGACCTGTATACTGCACGAGTCAAAAAGAGGGCTGTGAAAATATCTACACACCCCTCACATCCCGGACATAAACTGTTTCAACTCCTTCCCTCAAATCGACGCTATAGAGCCCTGCACACCAGAACAACTAGACACAAGGGGAGTTTTTCCGCAACGCCATCCCTCTGCTAAACAAATAATTCCCTCAACACTGTCCAACTATTGACTAAGTCTGCACTACTATCACTATTAATCATCTCATCACTCCTTATCGCCCTTCCCCCTCCCACTTGTGTCTGTATGACTGTAACTTTGTCGCTCGTATCCTTACGATTCATACTGACTGTCTCCTAGTATGATTTGATTGCTTATTGTATCCGATGATTATCATTAAGTGTTGGACCTGATGATTCTTGACTCTCGACGAATGTATCTTTTATGTACACCGAGAGCATTTGCACCAAGGCAAATTCCTTGTGTGTCCAATCATACTTGGCCAATAAAGAATTCTATTCTATTCTATTCTATTCTATTCTATTCTATTCTATTCTATTCTATTCTATTCTATTCATTTTCTCTATTCTGTTCTATTCTATTCTATTCTATATTCTATTCTATTCTATTCTATTTTCTATTCTATTCTATTTTCTATTCTATTCTATTCAAACCAAGTTTTATTTTATTTCTAAGTAAAAACTGAATTTGGGTTGGGAGATTCGAGTCCCCCGTTGGACACATTTATGGCCATTTAACTTAATACATGTATTGAAATGTATTTATGAATTTACATGTGTGTTTATTTATTTGTTTGTTTGTTTAAATAAACACATTTCTTTAAAGTTTCCTTAAAGTACAGGTAGCCCTCGACTTTATGGCCACAATTGGAAATACAGGTCGTATTCGAATGACGCCATTTCACGACCTTTCTCGACACCACCGTTAAGGGAATCACTGCTGTTGTTAAGGGAGTAACACGGTTGTTAAGCGAATCCAGCTTCCCGGTTGAACTTTGCTTGGCGGAAGGTTGCGAAAGGGGATCATGTGATCCCAGGACTCTGCAACCGTCATAATTACGAGTCCGTTGCCAAGTGCCTGAATTTTGATCTGTGGGGAAGCTGTAACCGTTGTAAGTGTGAAAAGCGGTCCTAAGTCACTTTTTTCCCCAGTGCCGTTGTAAGTTCAAAAGGTCTCTAAAGGGTTATAAGACTACCCATACACCAGACAAGAAACAGCTGGTTTTCGGCCCATTTGGGGCCTTTTCCGGCCTCCCAGAGGCTCGAAGGAAGCTTGGGGGAAGCCTCTGCAGCCTTTGGAGGCTGAAAAATCGGCCCGTTTCGTCACTTCTGGTATTTCCGGAAATACAGGAAGTGACAAAATGAGCCTGTTTTTTTGGCCTCCAAAGGCTGCAGAGGCTTCCCTGAAGCCTCTGGGAGGCCGAAAAAGGCCTCAAATGGGCCAAAAATCAGCTGGGAAGCACATGCATGAGCAGTGAGGTTAAGTTTGGCTGTGGTTCATGTGCCGGCACAAATGACTCTGCGTGCCACCTGTGGCACGCCTGCCATAGGTTCACCCTCACAGGCATAGGTTCTCCTGCTTGAGCAGGGGGTTGGGCTAGAAGACCTCTAAGGTCCCTTCCAGCTCTATTCTCATTCTTATGGTGCTGCTGGGACCCCATTTTCAGAAGCAAAAAGGAGCTTACCAAAGGAGCATTTCCGTGCTTCTCTTCCTTTTGCTCTGCAAGAAAAATGAGAATTAGAACTCGTTCCAGGTCCTGTGGCAACAGAATTTTCCCCTTTTCATAATATGTTCATCAGTATCTTTGAATCTTGCAAATTCTGAGAATACACCTTGGTTTCCATATATTTTTTTTTAGTGGGTACATTAACTATAATATTTAGGAGATTTCAATATTTCAATCATCATCTCCTTTTAATGACCCCATAATCCCTTGTGGGGTGGAGCCTATGCAGCTGAATGGAGCTGGGTGTTTACTGGCCAGATGCCATTCCTGTCGCCAATGTGGAGTTTTTTGCAGACCAATATCAGTTTCTATAATTATTTGAATAGATTAATATTTTTGAAATAATAAATAATCTAGAATGTAATTGACGAAAAAATATCATGCGGAATCTGACTCTCTCTGTGTGTGTGTGTGTGTGTGTGTGTGTGTGTGTGTGTGTGTGTGGTATTCAGCTTTGTTCGGGTATTTTCCCACGTCATTAAAGTTGTGCTTTTAAAGTTGTAGCAAAGCATGAATAGAAGAGATGATTCCACCAGGCTGTCAATTATCTGGAAGCCTGCACTCTCAAAAAAAAAAATCTCCACACCACAAGCCAGGCAAACACCTGGGCACAAACAGATCCCCCCTGATACCTCCAGCTCAAACACACCCCAACCAGGTACCCAGATGAAACCTAGCATCCTAACAAATGATAGCCGTCCATTTACTCAGAGCCAAGCTGCACTAAAAGCCTCCAATACACAAAAAAACACGCTGGAAACACAATGTTGCCAGCCAATCAAGACACAAAAAAGCCACAAAACAGACAGAAGATATTAGAAACACCAATCAAGCAGAACACAGCAAACTCCAAGACCAATAAACACAGACCAAGACTCCCAACCAATCAGGATGAAGAAAAAAACCATTCTGGCACAGCAGTAGGCTAGCCCCAAATTTAAAACAGAAACGGCTGTGAAAGTCTGACTCACAGACGAACACAATACAGCCTGATGATGGCAGATGAGATTCTGCCGAAACGTTGCTACAACTTTAAAAGCACAACTACAATGACGTGGGAAAATACCCGAACAAAGCTGAATGCCATACATGTAAGTACCCGCGAAAACTTAAGAATATACACACACACACACACACACACACACACACACACACACATATACACATACATATGTGATATGTAGTAGTTAGGAGACTATTGTTATGAATTTAGAATGTGATAATCAAAAAAGTGGTTATATTATGTTATATTATGTTATATTATGGTTAATTTTTATTATGAATTAAAGGGGAGTAAACTGAGGGATGAATAGGGCAAAGCGGTGGCATACTCAAATTGATAATTAAAGGGGAATATTTTTGAATTATTAGAATTAAGATGAAATTTATTGAATAATGAATGAAATAATAGTATGTGATAAAATTGCAAACGTGACAGATAAAATTATATGAGTATAACGAACATAGAAATGAAATAAGCATTTTAGATAACACTGTAAAATAAGACATGAGAATATTTAAAGAAAAAGGAAGCAAGCTATGAAACGAATTGGAAATGGATAAAATAAGTGTGATGAATATAAGAATATCTGAGAATATGAAAGGTGAATATGTAACTAAGTTCATGCTTGTATTGCAATGTCAAAAATCTGGAACCACATTGTTCACCAAAAGAGATGTTTTTAAAATATAATTTTTTTTAAAAAAAGGGGAGTTTTTTTTTTAAAAAAAACTGCAAATTGTATGCTGTTTAGGACAAATGGCAACTTACTTTGTCTTCTCCTTCTGATGATCCACAACGAGAAATATAACACAACGAGCAGGATAAACAACCCACTTCCTCGCAAATCAGAGAAAGAACTCTTGGCGTCTTTTCGGTCACCATCGTCCTGTTCCTTGACCGGAGTGATCTCGTCTGGAGGTTGAGTTGCGACGGCTTTTTCTGGAGACGAGAAGATCAAGATTACTTCTGGATTCTTCCTTCTACAACTTCAGCTCATCCAGAACGAATCCAGGTGTATTGGAGGCACCCCTGGGTTACACAATATGTAGCCCACCCATCTCTCTAAGAGGGTTGATTTTCCTTGGATCGGTGTCTCTCAACCTTGGGAGCCTTAAGATGGGTGGACTTCAACTCCCAGAATTCCCCAGTGGTTAGGGAACTCTGGGAGTTGACCTCCACCCATCTTAAAGTTGCTGAGAAAGACTGATGTAAATGGACACCTTTAATGGGAAAATGGTACAGAAAAGGTGAATTTGGTGTTTCTCCTGCCTTAGATCTGCTCCAGGGTTTCACAATCTTAATGTCAACTCATACAGTATTTCTATGGTCTTTTTGGGGTTGCCAACAGAAAGGGAGTGGGGGAAAGGGGTTAGAAAGAGCAGTGCAGCAGCTTGGAAATCGAAAGTGCATTCCATAAATGTTTTCAAAGATAGTAACTAGGTGACTGAAGTTTCTGCCGTGAGCAAAATTCTAACTGGAGAGCATGACTCTTGGCTATGGATGCGTCCCATTGGAGAATATGAATCACAATACACCCAGGGGTTGTGGGGAAACCAGAGTCAAGGGTGACAAGGAATTATGTGTCTCAGAGTCGGCTGCACCCAGGTAGTGCCGGACATGTTAATTCCCAATAAATCCTTTTTTGAAGTTTTAGAAGTTTGGTTCAAGACTCATGATTTAAATGGGGTGACTGCCAGAATCCTAACACTTGATAATTTTAAGATGGGTGGACTTCAACTCCCAGAATTCCCCAGTGGCTAGGGAATTCTGGGAGTTGTCCACCCATCTTAAAGTGGTTAAAGTTCAGAAACATTGACTTAGGGACACCTTTAATGGGAAAGTGATACACAAAAAAAATGTGAAAGTAGTGTTTCTCGTGACTTAAATCCTGCTCCCACGTTTCTCAACTTTGAGGACTTTCAGATGGGTGGGACTTCAACTCCCACAATTCTTCAGTAGCTAGGGAATTCTGGGAGTTGAAGTCCAGACTTCTTAAAGTTCTGAAGGTGGAAGGCCGCTGTTCTACTCATTGGTGATTGCCATGGTTCTACATATTCCCACCTTCGGGGCTGGGCTTCTACCGGTTCTCCTCGGTTCAAAAGAACCGGTAGCTAATTTTATGGCTGTTTTTATGGCTGGTTCGGCAAACCGGCAAACCCCACCTCTGGCTGGCCCTGCCCGCCTCACCCCTCCCAGGAGCCCCCACGCGGCCTGTTTTGGGTGCAGGTAAGCGAGGGCCCACACAGAGGCTTGGGGAGCATGAAAAACAGACCTCGTGGAGGCTCTGGAAGATCGGAAACGGGCCCATTTCTGACTTCCAGAGAGCCTTCGGAGCCCAGGGAGGCCGCTTTCACCCTCCGGAAGTTTGAGGAGAGCCTCTGGAGCCCAGGGAGGGTGAAAAACTGGCCCATTTTCACCCTTCCAGAAGCTCGAAGAAAGCCTACAGGGTCCAGGGCGGGTGAAAAACCAGACTGTTTCTGGCCCATTTTCGGCCTCCTGAGCTCAGAGAGGCTGTTTTCACAGGACAAAAATGCCCCTCCCCCCCATCATAGTGCAGGAGGTCTACGTGGCCACGCCCACTGTAGCCACACCCACCCTGCAACCAGGCAGAGAACCAATTGCTAAAACTTTGGAAGCCCACCACTGGACTCTTCCATCTGAACCGGTGGTTCTCTCCCTGTCCAGTCACGGTCCGTAAGCAAGTCCCAGAGATAGTTCAGGTGGACTTCTGGCCTTAAATTCAAGACGAATCCTGAAATGCTTGTCAAGAGACGAGTGTCCTCCTTCGGAAAGGACATTCTGGGTTTGCTTCTTCATCCTGTGGTGGGAGCCAGGATGAAGAAGGTAGAACATGAAAGTTGGAGAACTACTAAACTGGGATCCACCCTGTCCATGGTTGACAGCCAACCTACGGAGCTTCCTTCTTGATCTCTGGAGATCCACCATGGCCAGTGTCAAGCCCGAAACTGACATAGGTGTAGCCATTTCATTTAGCCTTGGCATATATTCCTTTTCTTTCTTTCTCTTTGCTGGCTATGGGAGGAGGGGGAGAGGATTTCGGGCTTGCCCCATTCGCAAGGTGGAGATAAGAGAGAGTTGTTTTGGCTAGGCGATTCTTCTTCCCGTGGGAACGAAAGCTGACCCTGCTGAGACCTGGAGATGGAGATTGATGACACCAGGCAAACCTTGATTGACTTCTATTGGGGGTATGTGACTTTTGGGGGGGGCTGTTTCTAACTTCCAATATTATGTGGGGGGTAATTCCGGGTTGTGTCATATCCAGAATGACAACAGACTTGGCCAATTGGATGCTTTCCTAAATAAAATAAATGGTTTTTTTGGAAGACGGGCTTTGCTCTTTTCTTTCAAAATGGATTTCATCCCTTGGAAACCTGACACCCAGGTTTCAACCCAGGTTGAACACAGAGCATTCCTCCCACTTCAACCTCAGGGGAACTCGAGTTGCCTTCAGAAGTTGCAGGAGCTCCTTCACTGGAAGCTTTTAAGAAGAGGCTGCGCAACCGTTTGTCTGAAATGGTGCAAGGCGGTGATGGAGAACCTTTTCGGCACTGAGGGCCCAAACTGGAATGCCCGTGCATGGGTGCATGCCAGAGCACCGGAAAACCAAAGACCAGCTGGCCAAGGCGTGAATGCCTGGTTTTTTGACGTTTTTGTGGTGTTTTCAGGGCCATTTTCAGGCTGTTTTTTTGGGGTCGGTTTTGGCGCAAAAAATGACCCAGAAATGGCCTGGAAAATGGCTTGATTTTTGCCTGTTATCAGGTCGTTTTTCAGGCCCTTTTTCATGCAAAAATGGTCTGAAATGGCCTGGGAAATGGCCTAGAAAATGGCCTGAAAAACATCCTGGGAAACAGCCTGTTTTTTGATCATTTTCTGGCTGTTTTTGAGCTATTTTCAGGCCATTTACAGGCAGTTTTTCATGCCAAAATGGCCTGGAAATGGCCGACTTTCCGGGTCTTTTCCCCGGTACTCCAATACCCGCAAAGACCAGCTGGCCAGCACACCTGCACCAGAAACCAGAACAGCAGCTGGCGATGGTGCACGTGCCCACTGAGAGGGCTCTGAGTGCCCCCTCTGGCACACGTGCCATAGGTTCGCCATCACAGGTGTAAGGTCTCCTGAGTATTCTGACCCAAAAACCTGGTTCCAAGGAAACAAACACCAAATGGAGGTAACAGCAAAACCTCTTAATGATTCTTTACTAATTCAGTTCCTTCCCAGTTAAAAGGCTGTTTCAAACTCATTGTCTCTAATAAGGACGAGCCTTGCCAAGGTGGTGCAAGGCTGCCAAGAACATGAGATAAAGTGGCCAAGAAATAGTTCAAACACAAAGAGTCTCCAAACACCAACCAAGATATCCCGAACATCTACAAGGCTTGAGTGCAAAAGCTTCTTTGCTTCCTGCAAAGAACTCCGGTTTCTCAGCTAGCCTTTATCCCTTAAGGGAGAGGCCATTATCTTGCAGCCTTACTCCTGAGTCTCCCATGCTGCTGCAGCTGCTCTTTCCTTCGAACAGCCCTGCGTGCACGCACACTTGGCACAGGCTCCTCGGGGCCTTCTTTCTCACTGCTGCCAGCCTCCACAATCTCCGAAGGCAGCACTCCACTCCCTGAGGGTCCTGGCCCCATCCCTGCATCCCACACAGGCCCCTCATCCAAGTCCTTGCTCTCCGAGACCTCAGCCGTCCCCACCTGTTGCCGGCGAACCACAACATTGAGCAGGGGGTTGGACTAGAAGACCTCTAAGGTCCTTTCTAACTCTGTTATTGTGTTATGAACTTAACAACTGCAGTGATTCACTTAACCAGCGTGTCCCGTTTTAACTGTGATCAAATGGGAGAAAACTGACTTCATAGCCGCCTTGTTTACCAACGGAAATGTTGCGTTTCATCGTAGTCATAATTCGGGGACTAGCCGTAATCTGTACAATTGGTCATTTGGCTGCTAAAACCCACCCCAGCAACTCAAAACATGCCATTCGCACCTGTGACAGTGAGGTTGCCTCGGTTGCTCTCCAAGATGGTCCCTTCTGGGTGAAAGGGGTTCACCCAACAGTAGTAAGTCCCGCTGTCATTCTTCTCCACCTGTCGGATTTCCATCATGCACTTGTCTCCTTTGGAAAAGCTGTACTTCCGGTTGCTGCCGTCCAATTTGATCGGCTGACGGTCATGGCCCTGTTTGTACCAGTTCAGATGTTTTCCGAAATCAGGGTTGGAGATGGAACAAGTAAACTTAGCCGTCTCTCCCTCTGTTAAGTTTAACTGGGGTGGATGAAAACGTACTGGGGGGGAAGAAAAGAAAGGAGGAGAAGAAACATCCGTCACACAATGGAATTAGCAGACCCATCCATGGCAGTTTTAACTTTTAAGGCTTCACGCAGGCAGTCCTTGACTTACAACAGTTCGAAGTTACAATGGCACCAAACTCGTAAGATTTGTTTTACTCGCCATGTACATTTATACATTCGAATTAGATTGTATTGTTTGTCATAGAATTACCGTGTTTCCCCCCAAAATAAGACCTAACCAGAAAATAAGCCCTGGCCTAGCATGGTTTTTCAGGATGCTCATAATATAAGCCCTACCCCCCAAAAATAAGCCCCAGTTAAGATCATCCCTAGGATGGACATATTTTGCGTATTTCCCCGAAAATAAGACCTAAGAGAAAAATAACTTTATTGTCACTTTGAATGTACACAAATCGGCACACATTAAAGTGAAATTTTGTTGCCTCCAGCTCTCAAAGGGTCTACCCCTCCAATATACACTACATAATATAACAGAATAAATAAATAAATACAGAGTCCAGTTCAGATGTATACATGTACACAGCAAGAGAAACGAATCTTATGAGTTTGCCAAAGGTAACAAAGCTGTCCCAGAATCTTGTAGCCCTGCTAGAAGTAACTTCGAAACCTCCTTCCACAGGGGAGCAATGGAAACAGACTGTGAAGGGGGGGGTGTGGGGTCTCTAACAATGCTTTGAGGTCTAAGCACACAGTGCTTACAAGCAGCATCCTGAATAATGGGAAGCGAACGTCCTATAATCTTCTCGACTGTCCTCACCGCTCTCTCTATAGGGACAAGTGAACTCCACGGGAAAAACCGGATTCACTCCATGACTGTCGCGCTAACTTCACAACTGCAGTGGTTCCCTTAACGACTGTGGCAGGAAAGGTTGTAAATAGGACGAAAACTCACTCCAGAACCATCTTGCCTTTGGCGGCAGAAATTTGGGGCTTGAATTGTGGTTGTGAGTCAAGGACTCACCTGTTCATCTGCCAGATTCTTAGGCTACTGTTCTTTCCAGCCAAAGATTTTACAGAGCAAATTTCCCCAAAAGGCAGGGCTGCACAATTTTTTGGTGCGTGTAAATTGAATGAACAAATTTTTTTTCTGTTTCATCTGCAAGCCACTGAAAATAGAGAAAAAAAACTTTCTACCCTTTCAATATTTCTCCAACAGGGAGGACAATTAACCAGTGGAACAGCTTGCCACCAGAAGTTGTGGGTGCAACAGTGGAGGCTATTATTATCATTATTATTATTATCATTATCATATATTTAGTGAGATTCACAGCCTTTGGGGCTGGTTGGTAGCTCAACAGCTCGAGTCCTAACCAAGGACCTAGGAACTGTTCAGGTAGCGTCGGAGGATATAAGCTGCTCCAAATAAGGTGATTGTTTATTATTATTATTATTAGTATTGTTGTTGTTGTTGTTGTACACAAAAATGACAGTATACACAGCAGACGAGATAACCGTGTTGGGTTTCGTATGACAAATCACTAGTCGAACACTTACCAAGTGTTTAGGACTGTGTGATGTATCGGCGGATTATGCGAGCAGATTATTATTATTATTATTATTATTATTATTATTATTATTATTCATATAAATACAAGACGGTGCAGCCGTTCTGGCATTACAATTGTTATGCATATATAAATGTTACTTCACCATTTACAATAATTTTGTTTGATACATTATTTGCTAATTATTCTGTTCACCATAGCTACTTACGTTCCGACCTTGCCTTCTTCTATGCAACCACTGATAAAAATTATTCCACGTTTCATAATACTCAGATTGCCCCTTTTTTTTTTAATTCTAGAGTTAATCTATCTGATTCTGCACAGGCCATAATTTTCCTTATTATCTCTGTTTTCTGGCGGTATGCTTTCCTTCTTCCAATATTGCGTATATATTATTCTAGCCACCATCAACACATGTACTATTAGATAGATTAAATCCTTCCTATATCCTTCTGGTATTATTCCTAGGAGGAAATATTCCGGCTTAAATGGAATACACGCGCCCAACCATTTGTTCCACCCGTGTCTGGATCAGTCTCCAATACTTTTTTGCAGCATTGCAAGTCCACCACATGTGAAAATATGTGCCTGATACATCTTTGCGCTTCCAACAATTTGGAGATATATTTTTAAACATTTTAGAAAGCCTTGCTGGTGGAAGATGCTACCTGTAAAACATCTTATAAAGGTTTTCCTTTTATGCTGTGGCCAATGTTAATTTCCTATTGGTAGTCCAAAGCTTTTTCCCTTTAGCCAATTCAATATTAGAACCAATTTTTCCCCCCAGGCCACCATTGTTTCTTTTACATGCTCTTCTTCAAGTTTGTATTTTAATTAATAGATATCTATACAGTACTTTTATTAATTTATCATCAGTCTCTAGCAGCTAGAGTCTATCTGAAGCTTATCCAGAATTGTTAACTCTTCATTAATGCCCCATGCTTTCCTGTTCTGTGTGTATCTTGTTTGTATTTGTAAGTAGGACCACCATTCTACATTTACTCCTCATGCTACCAGTTCTGGAAGCTTTTAAGCTTTTAAGAAGAGACTGGATAGCCACTTTCAGGAATGGTGTAGGGTCTCTTGGCTGAGCAGGGGGCTCGACTAGAAGACCTCCAAGGTCCCTTGCAGTCCCATGATTCAGGAAGGAAGGTTTTTACAGATAATCAGAGTTGGAAGGGACCTTATAGGTCATCTAGTCCAACCCCCACCCAAGCAGGAGACCCTACGCCATTTCTGACAAATGGCAGTCCAATCTCTTCTTGAAAGCCTCCCTAAGACAAACAGTAGACAAAGCGATTGATAGTCATCAGAATAGAGCTGGAGGGGACTTTGGAGGTCTTCTAGTCCAACCCTTCCCTGGCCAGACAAGGAAACCCTACACCATTTTGAATGATCTTTACCTCAGGCTTTCCACCAGTGTTTTAAAGTTCTTTTCTGTGGAATTTGATTGCTATAAGAATAACATATTGAAATATTGCATATAAGAATAACATATTGAAATATTGCATAAGACAATAACGAAAGATTACAACTTAACAAAAATAACTGTATCATTGTTAGTATCACATAATTTGTTAAACATAAATATGACGAATACTATTTTATTTGCATTAAAATGTGGATATTTTTTAAATGCAGCAGTGGCATAATTAAAAATTAAAAGGGGATAAATGATGGAAAATTATAACCCAACATAAATTTGAGAATTGTTATCAGAATCATAGAGTATGTTAAACCCTGAAAATATGATTATTAATATGATTGTAGCAAAAGGGGTGAACGTTAAGAATATAGAGATTGATGCAAAAATAACGTACTGAAATATTGATGAATCAAGAACGATAATTTAACAAAATAAGCATATTCATACCAAATTTTAAAATATTGTCAATTGTGTTAAACATGAAGAATATTGTCATATTACCATGTGTGATGGACATGCCCTGTAGCAAGAAAATATTGGATAAGGACAAAAAAATGGATAGAAGAAATAATTAAACAGCAAATTGAATTAAGAATGGAGACTCTTTCTATTAGATATCATAACAGGAAGATATAAGAAAACAGAGTATTTAATGCTACATTTATTAACAGCAGCAAGAATAACTTATGCACAGAACTGTAAAAATGATAGTAAAGAGGAAAATGTCGTAAGAAAAATACTAGAGTGTGCCGAGATGGATAAGTTGACCATGGAGATAAAGGAAAGAGAGAAAACGGATTATTATTTGACGTGTAATGTACTGTATGATTGGCTAAATAATAGATATAAGAGTTGAATAGAGAAAATAATAAGATAATAAGGTTAAAGTTACAGTGGACAAAGATAGATTAAGCAATATAGACCACTGTGTAGATAGTTAAGATTTATGTTAAAATATGTATACCATCACGAAAGCTGGAAATGATGTTGTATATAAGAAAAATTGTTTAATACAAATTATTATTTTTTTTAAAAAAAAAAAAAGAATATTGTCATCTTTGTTTTAAAATATAAGGCACTCCGGAGCCACACTGTTCACCCAATGATATGTTTCTTGGAACAAGGAGAAATGTAAAAAAAAAAAAATTATTGGGGAAAAGAAAAAGTTCTTTTCTTCCATTGAGACCCGTTACTCGCAAGGAACACGCTGGGTACGTACCGAAGGGTTTGTCCAGCAGCGCCGACGGGAAGAAAAGAAACCCCCAAAGGACATGAAACACGTTCTCCATGGTCACCCCCAAAAGTTGGGCACTTGTGGAGGGATTTTCTAAAGCTTCCTCCACCGAGTTTCAGCCGGATGGAGGGAAGAGCATCAGTAAACTGTGGGGAGACCTGCCACATCAGGAGAGGAGGATGGGATTTCGCCTTCTGGTCCCCCCGGCTGTACCCCCAAGAATTGACCGAGCCGGGTGTGTGTGTGTGTGTGTGTGAACCTGCAACCTCCGCCTGCCTTCCTCTCTCGCCTTCGATGCCTTGCACCGAATCTCTGCCAGGCTGTGAGCAAAGGAAGTGACACGAGAGAAGATGAGAGAGTCGAGGCTCGGCCTCCCACATCGGCAGCCCACAGGTGGCTTGCGAAGCGCAGCGATGGCATTGCTATATCGAGAGACACAGGAAGCCGCCTCGCCTCGCAGGTCGTGCCAGGATTGGCGGCATCGAAAGCACAAGGGTGGCACCACCCGGGGGGCCGTTGGGTTCTTGTGGGCCTTGGTGGGATGGAAGGCCTAAGGGTGAGAGGGAAGGGAGGAGAAGGAAGGAAAGAGAAGGAAGGAAGGAAAGAAGGAAGAAAAGAAGGAAGGAAGGAAGGGAAAGGAAAGGAAAGAAAGAAGGAAAGAAGAAAAGAAAGAGGGAGGCAGACAGGGAGGGAGGATTAGATTAGATTAACAGAGTTGGAAGGGATCTTGTAGGTCATCTAGTCCAACCCCCCACGCCCAGAAGGAAGGAAGGAAAACAGAGACACAGAAAGAGAGGAAAGGAAGGTAGGAAGGAGAGAAGGAGAGAAGGAAGGAGGGAAAAAGGAAAACAGAGAAAGAGAAAAGGAAGGAAGGTAGGAAAGAAGGAAGGAAGGAGGGAAGAAAGGAAGGAGGGAAGGAAACAGAGACAGAGAATGTAGAAAGGTAGGAAAGAAAGGAAGGAGGGAAGAAGGAAGGAAGGAAGGAAGGAAGGAAGGAAGGAAGGAAGGAAGGAAGGAAGGAAGGAAGGAAGGAAGGAAGGAAAACAGAGACACAGAAAGAGAGGGAAGGTAGGTAGGAAGGAAGGAGAGAAGGAAGGAGGGAAAAAAGGAAAACAGA